TTTTTTTGAGACAGAGTCTTGCTAGACAGAGTCTTGCCCAGGATGGAGTGCAACGGTGTGATCTCGGCTCACTGCAACCTCCACCTCCTGGAATCAAGCGATTCTCCTGCCTCAGCCTGCCAAGCAGCTGGGACTACAGGCACCTGCTACCACGCCTGGCTAACTTTTGTATTTTTAGTAGAGATGGGGTTTCACCATGTTGGCCAGGCTGGTCTCGAACTCCTGACCTCATGATCCGCCTGCCTCAACCTCCCAAAGTGCTGGGATTACAGGAGTGAGACACCACGCCTGGCCTTGGAGTCCATTTCTTCAGCTCAAAGTCTCACTTCTAGGTCTAGAAGATCAAAGATGTCTTCCCAGTGCCACGCAGACCATAATAGTTATTTTCCCTTTGTGGAGCAAGTTGAAACAAGCAGCTAGCATGACAAGTTAAAATGTTGTCTGCAGTGACACACGGCCTGAAGGCTCTCAGAATCCAAGGCTGGCTTGGTCTGGAGAAGCCCCAATCACTAACCCGGGATGTTTCAAAGGGGTTGGAGTTTTTGACGGGAAAATGCACGTATCAGGTCACAGAATGCGGACAGGGCATGACACAGGAGGCCACTCATTCCAGGGGTGGGTGGCATGCGTGTTAACGAGAAGACCAAGGAACACTTGCAGGCAGTTGTGACAAGCATGTATCACGAGCTCCAAATCAAGCCAGAGCCCCCCGCCCCGCCCCCACCCCGCGCACCCACCATAGCCATGCAGTGCCATCGTTATACGCCGGGCTCACTGGGTGCCGAAGGAAGGCAGAGAGACATGATGTGAATGTTAAAAAAAAATACAACAGTTTGTTGAGGAAAAACACGATCGCCTTTGATTGTCTGCAAACAGTCAAGACTCGCATTGCCCGCAACATAGAAAAGTACCAATTTCACCCCCGCCATGGCTGTCTTAACCCTCTGCTTCCATTTGTTTGTTGAGTCCTCTGGGATATGCCGGCGCTTCTGAGGGCGGGTGGGGGGAAAGACAGCACGGTGCGGTGAAGCGGGAGGCAGTGCCACAGACCGCGGGGCCCAGGGAACCGTCCCCATCTTGGCAGCAGGCTGGCCTCTCCTGGTGCCAGCGGTAAGCTCGCTGCCAAGGCTGAATCGGGTTCTGGGCGTTTTAAACAAATGAGAGATGGCAGAGACCCAGGCTGGGAAGGAACATCTGTAACAAAGGTGGTGGCGACAGGAGGGACCCTCCCCTGGACCGCATGATGCCCCGTCTCACTGACGGCGGCGGGATTCCAGTGGGAGGTAGCGGGCAAAGGCGCCGGTCACCACCAGCGTCTTATGACAGCAGGAAGGAAGCCACGCCCAGAAGCCCAAACTCATGTGCCAATTAGGTAGTGGGTCTCTTTTTAATAAACAAATTCAGTGCCACAGCTGGGGGAAAATCAAAACCACAGAGCAGCCGCTGGGAGCCAAATGAAACGGAGGAGGAATAGAGGAAACGGCCCATCAGAAGCAGACAGGGCCTGGGGGTGCCTCTACGCTCTGCAGAAATCAACCCCCATGACTCTGTCACTTTCACGTCATCACAAAGCCTGGGCTGAAACCAAGCCACGGGCCACCGAGGCAGAGGGACCCTGTATCCCAGAGGTGGCTTCCTTCCAGCACCCGCTGCCCAGATTTGATGTTGTGGCTTGGTTAAGTCCCTTGCCTTAAATGGACATGGTGTGTGCCACAAAGCCCCTTTCTCCCCCTTAGGAAGGAATGAAATAGCCACCCATGCTCACTCTAAGAGGTTCAACCACACAGCCACAGGGTGGGCCGTCTTGGGGGCCAGACACTGACTCCTGACACATTTCCAGCCAGGCTTGGGGGCTGGGACGCCACCCTGAAAACATGCCAGACGTTTGCAGGGCCTTAGAGATGGGCCTTTTGCTTCTTCAGGAGGGAATGAGGGGCAGAGGGCCTGAAGGGCTGGGGCAGAGGGCAGTGTGCACCCAGGCATGACTCTCTGATGCATTAGATCGGACAGACAGTCTCTTTATCTTAGGGCGAGAACTCCTGTTTTTGTGGTTGTATTCTGCACACCTTTGAGTCCCGCTCAGATCCTCGGGGGTCTTTAGAAAGACATACTTCCTTCCTGCCTGGAGAAGGACCGAGCTGAACCCCAGATTCTCATTGCATTTGAAGAGCTGTGCCCTGGGGGGAGGCTTTCCAGAGCACCCACTGTGCCCTCCAGATGGGATTTTGGCAAGTGTAACCCCCGGCCACTTTGAACCTGTGAGCACTGTCCCCTGACACATTGACAAGGAAAAGACAAACCCAGGGGTTTGTCCTGATCGGTCCCTGAGGCTGAAAGTGCAGATGGGACACAGAGTCGGGACCTGCGAGAACTCCTTTGACTGTCCTCACCCACCGAGGGCCAATGCGGGCGTCTCCAGGCTCCGTTGGAGGCTGACAAGGCCAGCAGCTCCATGTCTGCTTGTCCCACGTCATGTGAAAAACACCATTAAAAAAGCCTTGCCGGGCATGGTGGCTCCCGTGTGTAATCCCAGAACTCTGGGAAGCCGAGGCGGGCAGATCTCTTGAGGCCAAGAGTTTGAGACCAGCCTGAGCAATATCGTTAAACCCGGTCTCTACTGAAATATGAACAATTAGCTGGGTGTGGTGGCGTGCACCTGTAATCCCAGCTACCTTCGAGGCTGAGGCACGAGACTTGCTCGAACCCGGGAGGCGGAGGTTGCAGTGAGCTGAGATTGCACCACCGCACTCCAGCCTGAGTGACAGAGAGAGACCCTGTCTCAAAAAACCAACAAACCAACCAACCCAGCAAGCACCTCTGGAGGTCTGCAAGAGTTCTGGCGGCACATATGACTTAATTTGGTTTTTGTTTTTTTGAGATGGAGTCTCATCCTGGCCCTGTCGCCCAGGCTGGAGTACAATGGTGTGATCTCAGCTCACTGCAACCTCTGCCTCCCTAGTTCAAGTGATTCTCCTGCCTCAGCCTCCGGAGTAGCTGGGATTATAGGTGCGTGCCACCACACCTGGCTAATTTTTTGTATCTTTAGTAGAGACGGGATTTCACCATGTTGGCCAGGCTGGTCTTGATCTCCTGACCTCCTGATCTGCCTGCCTCGGCCTCCCAAAGTACTGGGATCACAGGCGTGAGCAACTGCGCCCCGCCACATGACTTAATTTAAATGAGAGGTTTGGGAAGAAAGAAAAACGCTTATTATAAACAGACAATGGCCTCAAGAACATCACAAAACATGTCTCTCCCTCATTCTCACAGTCTGAGTGAAACAAGGAACTGGCCCTTTGCTCAGGTGCTGCTTTGGCAAAGGCTTCCGTTTTGATAGAACAGGCAGAATGTACTGTGAAAAAGCTTTGAGGGTTCAAAGCCACATGGTTCTTGTGGTTGAAATGCTTGCTGAAATTTGAGATCACCCTCAGGGCACATCAAGACGAGAGATCTAGAGCAGGTTTGATAAACTATAGCCCTTTGGCCAAATCTGGCCCCCTGTCTGTTTTTGCTAATAAAGTTTTATTGGAACACAATTCATGGAACACAGGCCCATGTATTTACTACTGTCTATGCTCCTTTTGCTGCTACCATGGCAAAGTTGAGTAGCTGCAACCCAGGCTTACAGAGCCTACAATGTTTGTTATCTGGGCTGATCCCAGGTCTACACTGCTGATGAACCCAGTTTATTGCTGGGGAAGTTAACCCGCAGTGGCCACCATACCTCTTTGTTTTTGGACTCTTTCTTCAGGGACTTCTCCAAGACTCTGGCTTCGTATTCAGCTCTGGGATGATCCTGTGAATGAAACCAAGTCGAGACAGAGGCCTTGTTAGTTGTGAGTCTGGACTCCTCAGCGTCAGCATACTTGGCAAATCAGCCCCTGGATTAGCCTCAGGCACCCTTTGGGTCCAGTTCATAGTTGGCTGCTGAGAACATTTCCAGTGTAACCCGCCTCTCCCCGTTTGTGGTCTGGATGGTGACCCAGGGTGATCCCGCTCGTTGGGAACCCCAGCCCATTGGGAGGGCCACAGAACCTGGCCTCTGTGTCCTCTTAGAGGTGGAGAAGCCTGTGCCAGGCTGCAGCGAACACCCAGCCATGAACTGGCCCTGAGAACATTCTATGGAGGAGCTGTGGGGGTCAGAAGAGATGCAGTAAGTGTCGGCAAGCACGGGCAGCCCAGAGGTGCCAGGCCTTGGGGAGCTGAGAGCAGGTCAGCGAAGGGCGCTGGAAGGGAAGAACGAGTTAGGAGAGACTGAGGTGGGAAGAAAGCAGAGAGCCCGCCCGAGTGGAGGAACCGCGGGAACTGCACAGTAGAAAGAGATTAGGTGCCAGAGAAGGCCCCGCTCCCAGGGAGACAGGCCGTGGGAAGACAGAAGAGGGAGCGACAAAAAATTCCAAACCTTGACAGCCTCCTTCAGGGAACCAGAAAAGTAAAAACAAAAACACAAAGATGTCATTACTTAGGTTGTTATTTTAGAGACAGGGCCTGTCCACTAAAGACAGTTTTCTTAAGAACTAGGATGGAGGTAAACAGGGGCAGGTGAGCCAGGATGGGCGGGGGACCCTGGGTTCCATGAAGGTTCACCGCTGCTTGAGGGTCACTGTGGGCTGTGGCCTTTGCAGCTCCCATGGTTTTGGACATTCCCCGAATCTCCAAATCTAAGTGCTGGACTGAAACGTCTTAGACTCAGCTGAGGCACAGGGGCCACATGATGGGACACAAGTGTCCTTCTGCTTCAGTGCCAGAGTCTGGGGTTCAGGCTGCGTGGAGGGGCGGCCTGAGATTATTACTCACAAAGGAGGCCCTGCCCGGCTGTTGGGGGGCGTGAGTGGCTCACTTTGGGAAATTCATTCAGGCCCCTTGGCACCGTGTCCCCAGTGACTTCGGTCGTCACCTCCATAATCAAGCTCCCAAGCCATCGGTGTCAGGAGATCAGGGAATGGAACCCCAAGGGGTTGAACAAAGGAGACTGAGGCCCCCCCAACTTTCCCCCAGCCACAGGGACATCACAGAAAGGACATTTGAAATCGACTTCTGAATAAGACCACAACTGCTTTTTTTTTTTTCTATTTGAATCTTTCTAACTGAAACAGCAAGGAAAGAGGCCACCCTGAGAGCCCCGTTATGGACAAGGCTCCGGACTGGGTCCCGGCCCCGCCCTGCAGGGCTGTGTGCCATGGGCAGGTTGTGTTGGTCTCTGGTCATTTGTGGACAGGATCATGAGACCGGCTGAGGAGGAGCGGGGAGGCTGTTGTGTGAGCGGGTGAAGGTGTGGCCCAGCGGCCACTAGCGGGGCAGCCATTTACGGGGCACTGACTCTGTGCTGGGCCGGGAACTAAGTGCTTGATATATATTGACCCACTGAGACCCCACAAATGCTATCAAGTGAGGATTCTTTGGTACAGAGATGTTAAGCGATTTTCCTGGGGTCACACAGCAAGGCGGGTACCAAATCTGGCTGGAACTCAGGCAGCCTGGCCCCAGAGGCCCGTCTTGTACCCTCTGAGCTGCTGTGCCTCGCCCAGAAAACTCTAATCCCCTTGCTTGTTGACAATATTGTTAGCCCAGAGCTGCCACATTTTTCTGAAGCGTGACCCTTGGATTCAGTCTGAGAGGGAGCAGATTGTGTGAGAAAATACAATAGAAAAGTTAAAATTTTTTTAAAGAAAAAAAAATCCTTTAAAAGAAAAATATCGGCCGGGCGTGGTGGCTCAAGCCTGTAATCCCAGCACTGTGGGAGGCCGAGGCGGGTGGATCACGAGGTCAAGAGATCGAGACCATCCTGGTCAACATGGTGAAACCCCGTCTCTACTAAAAATACAAAAAATTAGCTGGGCATGGTGGCGCGTGCCTGTAATCCCAGCGACTCAGGAGGCTGAGACAGGAGAATTGCCCGAACCCAGGAGGCGGAGGTTGCGGTGAGCCGAGATCGCACCACTGCACTCCAGCCTGGGTAACAAGAGCGAAACTCCGTCTCAAAAAAAAAAAAAGAAAAATATCTTTTAAAGGAAATGTCCACATTGCAATAAAAATGCATGGAAGTTCCTCTTTTTAAAAGGAAGAGCCTGTGTAGTGTAACCCGGGCGACACGGCCAGACCCTAACTATTACCAAAAATCAAACAATTAGCCAGGCGTGCTTGTGCGTGCCTGTGGCCCCAGCTACCCAGGAGACTGAAGTGGGAGGATGGCTTGAGCCCGGGAGGTTGAGGCCGCAGTGAGCTGTGGTCATGCCATTGCACTCCAGCTTAGGTGACAGACGGAGACCCTGTCTCCAAAAACAGGGGGAGCATGTCTTATAAGATTAAATAGCGCCCTGCGTGGTTGCACCTTACGGCATGTGCATGGGGTGGCCTCTTGTGCTCCAAGGCTGATTGTGGGGACTGTCACTCCTTTTCACTCCCACCGACCCTGAAGGGAATTGCTGCTGGACTTGGGATCCCTGGGAGTGCAGGTCACCTGGCAGCCCAGGGGCCACGTAATACTGAATGTCCCTCTCTCTGGAGCAGGCAGATGCCCGGCGCTGCCTTTCCGTCTATGTTGGTAAAGGACCAGTCCCCACTCGTCAGCCATGCCCAGCTGCCGGCACAGAGCTGGCTCTGGGGAAGGTCGAGGAGGCAAGGGCTCACGGCCACTTTTGGAGGTCCCCGGGCAGCGTCCATTCCCTCTCCACCCCCACGGGTGGTGCCGACAGCCCGGGCAGCCCCCAGACACAATACAGTCAGTGTGGTGGGCCCTGGCATGAACCACCGCCGGTGGCTGGTGTGCCACGTGAGCATGGGGATGGAAACACTTCAGCAGACAGGGAGCGGTCACTCCAGCCACGGAGGGCATTTGGAATGCCAGGGCAATACGCGGCGAGGCAGACGGTGGGGTGGGGTGGTGGGCGGCCTTGCGTTTGCTTGGACCAGGGGCTCTTTTTGGCCCCGGGCTTCCATGTGAGTCCTAAGGAGGTCCTGGGCAGGGGAAAGTGGGAAGGGTGTGACGTGCAAGGCGCCAAAGCCACTGACCTCTTCCTCCTCGAAGCCCGTGAGGTCCCAGCGGTAGTTCAGCCTCATCTGCTTCCGCTTCCAGTGCTCCATGAAGGTGGCAGCTGTGGGGGAAATCCAGAGTCCCGATGACATAAAGGCACTCTCTTCTTTTCTTTTCTTTTCTTTTTTTCTGAGACGGAGTCGTGCTCTTGTTGCCCAGGCTGGAGTGCAGTGGTGCAATCTTGGCTCACTGCAACCTCCGCCTCCCAGGTTCAAGCAATTCTCCTGCCTCAGCCTCCCGAGAAGCTGGGACCACAGGCATGCACCACCATGCCCAACTAATTTTTGTATTTTTAGTAGAGACGGGGGCTTCACCGTGTTGGTCAGGCTGGTCTCGATCTCCCGACCTCAGGTGATCTGCCCGCCTCGGCCTCCCAAAGTACTGGGATTTCAGGCGTGAACCACCATGCCCGGCCGGAATTCTTTTCTCAGTGCTTGGTGAGCAAGGGCGATATACTGGGGTAAGAACTTCATGTGAATTCATGAGTTCAGCCCTCCCACCAATCCTGTGGGCCAGAAACCATCATTCTCTCTTTTTACAGATGAGGAAACTGAGGCACAGGACACTCAAGTCCCGGCTGAGGTTACCCAGCCAGTCAGTGAGGGGTGGGCAGCCTGGCCCAGAGCCTGTGCCTCCACTCTCCTGCACCATTGCTCTCGGCGACCCTGGCTTGGAGGTCAGGAGGAATGAGGGGTGAGCCAAGGCCACTGACTCACTCGGGCTTCAAACCACCCCAGGGGTCTGCCTGCTGAACTGTGCTGGCAGCTGCTGCATTCAGCTTCATATTCCCAACAGACAAAGCATGGTTCAAATGCCGCCTCCTCCAGGAAGCCACCGATCATTCCCCTCAGTGTGAGAAAAACCCAGCGCCTCTTGGGACCTTCCTCAGCCTTCGTCTGTCTCGCTCACGGTGTCATGCTGCCTTGCATCGGGATCCCTGTCTCGTGACTTGTGTGTGGGGCAGGAATGGGGCCTCGTTCCCCGGATCCTCAGCTCCCAGAGGTGCCTGGCATAGACAGCTGCTTGAGTGCGCATTGAGTGAGTGACTTTTGCAAGTGCACAGCGTGCAAAAGAAGAGGCCCTGACTGGAGTGTTTATCATGAATACTTCTCCCTGCAAAAGAAAATCAGCAGAAGCTGAGAGGCAGAGTGACAGGATGGCCACAGAGTTCCCTGGAGCTCACAATTCTTGAGCTGTTCCACGCCAGGCACTGTTGGGAGCTGGTCAATCTACAGACCACCCCCAGGACAAGGCTCTTGTATCTGCCTGAAGATGCTCAGTACAAATTTCAGGGCAAGAACACCAGAATTCAATACAGGTGTTGATTGACTTACGACCTATGCAACTTACACGACCATTCGACTTTACGACCACAATCGCTAGCCACGACTGCTCCGCGTCTGGCAGCGCAAACGTTGCCCAGCTGGGCGTACGACAGTGCAGACCAGCTTCCGGCAGCACTACCATCTCCGCATGCATATAGGCTACTCAACTTACGACCAAATCGTGTTACGACCGGCCTGTCGGAACCTATCGTGGTCGTAAGTCGAGCACTAGCTGTACCAGCCACAGAGCTCTGTAAACTTGGGCAAGTTACTTAGTCTTTCTTGCCTCTGTTTCCTCATCCATAAAATAGTACCTTCTAATAATCAGACTTGGAGTGTCAGTGAGGGAGCACCAATGTTATTTACTCCTCACAGTGACCATGGGAGGTAGGTGCTAGTCCCCTCGCCCCCATTTTACAGAGGGGGAAACTGAGGCTCGGAGGGATGAAATGGCTTATCTGAGAAGCAGCAGCACTGATGTGCAAACAAAATGGGCTGTAGGACTGTGGGCATGCAAGGTGAATTCACAAATGTGGTCCTTGATGGAAAGCAATGTGTGGCCGGAAAGAACGCAAGTGTCGGGCGTGAACCTGGTTCACAGGCCGTTAGTCTACGTGTAACGAAGCTCTTCCCATTAAGGTGAGGTGGGAATGGGGCTTCCGAGCGTGCACAGGTTTGTCTAGGATGCATCCACCGAAAGGATTAGCCACCGTGTCAGCCGGCCCAGCCTGGAAACAGGAGCGCCGACAACCCTGCCGCATAGGTCTTTCACACTGGGGTGATTTAACCCTGGGACTTGCCCGCACAGGCAATGGAAGAGCTGAGAAGCCACACGGGGATGCTGGGACCACCCAGAGATGACCCACGGCAGAAGCTGGCATCCGTTTCAGGGTGGTAGGACAGTAGGAGGTGCCCAGTGTCAATACTGGAACCAGAAATTGGAGCTGCTCAGAAGCAGCTGGGATCACGGAGGAAGAGGGGCTTCCCAGGGGAGGCAGAGCCTGGAGAAGACGCAGTCATTGCTGGGGATGTCCCAGCAAGTGGAGGGAGATGGGGAGAAATATTTCGGCTGCTCCCTTCCTCCTGCCTTCTGAGCTCCCAAAAGGGCTTCCCACTGGCTGAAACTACTGGGAAGAGGGAGAGCCAGGGAGCCTGGGGATGCCAAGATGCAGACCTGCGCAGGCGAGGGAACAGCTACCGCTTAAACACCTGCTGGAAACCCGGCCACTCGGCAGACACACACGGAGCGCGGAGGCTGCGGCAGGTGAGGTGGGCCGCAGGGGGCTCAGGAGGAGGCCCCCAGCCCCCAGGGCCCCTGACCATTAGGAGGCGGACACTGAGGGCGGCCTGTCTGCGGTGGGCACCCTCCCCAGGAGGCAATGCAGGGAGATCTCCGCCTCTTTGAAGATGTGCTTTGTCCACTGCCGCTGCTCTGGAGCGGTGTGGGAGGCCAGCTGTCCCCCGGTCTCTGCCTGGTCTGCAAGGCCCCCGGCGGTGCCTTCCCCAAGCTTTGGAAGCTGCCTCTCTCTGTCCTCCTCTGCCCGCCCAGGGCAACATGCTCTGTTCCGACTCTTTTTTGGGCTGAGCACTGCCCAGGAGGGCTGGCTGAACGCACAGCTGCAGAGTCGGCCGGTTTACCTGCTGTGATGGTTAGTATTGAGTGTCAACTTGATTGAAGGATGCCAAGTATTGTGTGGGTGTATCTGTGAGGGTGTTGCTAGAGGAGATTAATATTTGAGTCAGCAGAGGGGGACAGGCAGACCCACTCCTGACCTGGGTGGGCACCATCCCCTCTGCTGCCAGCGCAGCTGGAAAAAGCAGGTGGGAGGAGGTGGAAGAGCACCCTCGCCGAGTCTTCCCGCCTCACCTTTCTCCCATGCTGGACCTTTCCTGCCCTTGGACATCTGACTCCAAGTTCTCCAGCTTTTGGACACCTGGACTCCCACCGGTGTTCTGCCAGGGGCTCTCAGGCCTCCGGCCACAGACTGAAGGCTGCACTGTCAGCTGCCCGACTTTTGAGATTTGGGGACTCAGATTGATCCACCACTGGCTTCCTGGCTCCTTGACTTGCAGACGGCCTGTCTGGGGCTTGACCTTGTGATGGTGTGAGTCGATCCTCCTGAATAAACCCCCTTCATACGTACAACATAGCCTATTCGTTCTGTCCCTCTGGAGAACCCTGCCTCCAGTGCACCTTCCCCGTCCCAGCCTCCGCGGCTCCTCCCCTTTCCCAGGCTTGGCTTCCAACACGACGCTCACCCCCTGCCGCCCCGGCTTTGCCCGCTCTGCACTCCCAGCCTGCAGCATAACAACGGTCACCAGTTAACAAGGACGTATCTGCATGCTGGCCTTTTACAGACATCAGTCAACCTCATCCCCACAACGACCGCAGGCAGGAGGGATGATTCCCATTCATAGATTTACAAAGCTGAGGCCATTCACAACCCTGACATTCAGAGGCTGGAGTGCTGTGCCCAGGGTCAGCTGCAGGGGAACAGCAGCCGCTGGATGTGAACCTCATTCTATTTGACTCCAGTGTTCATGGAACCATGATGCTGGACCGACTCTCTGAGCAGATATTTTGTTTTCCTTAAGGAAATAAGAGCTGTAGTTGTGAAAAGTCTGATTATTAGAGTGTACCATCTTATGGATGAAGAAATAGGGGCACAGAGAGGTTAAGTAAGTTGCCTAAAGTCACAGAGCTTGGTGGCTGGTATTCCTTTCTTTCTTTTTTTTTTTTTTTTTTTTTGGAGTCTTGCTCTGTTGCCCAGGCTGGAGTGGAGTGGTGAGATCTCAGCTCACTGCAGAGGCCTCTTGAGTTCAAGTAATTTTCCAGCCTCCCAAGTAGCTAGGACTATAGGTGTGTGCCACCAAGCCTGGCTAATTTTGCATTTTTAGTAGAGATGGGGTTTCACCACATTGGACAGGCTGGTCTTGAACTCCTGAGCTGAAGTGATCTGCTCGCCTCAGCCTCCCGAAGTGCTGGATTATAGTCGTGAGTAACCACACCTGGCCTTGAACCCTAGTATTCTTGCTCTAAAATTTGTACCGTGTCTTCAGACAGAAGCAAGGAGCATGTCCTGGAGGTGTCTGTAGATTGACCAGGACTCAGGCTGGAGCCTAGAACAGAACCTGTGGCTGGGGTTGGGGTGGGGGTACAGGTGACACAAAGACGAGCCTTGTTTGGCTCAGTTATGTTTAAAAAATAAAGACATTTGACGTAAAAATTATGCCTTTCCTGCTTCTCCTTTAAAAGGCAGAAGCACTGCCAGCTGAAGGCTGGAGCTGAGCAACGATCACCCCTTGGTCAAAACGTGGGCATGCCTTTTCCACGTGGCCACAGACCCCACCATGCCCTATTGTCCGGCTTCTGTGGGCACTGGGCGTGGAGGTGGAGCTGTGGAGTCAGGCTTGGCCAGCAGGAAGGGAGATGTGAAGGCTCATGCTGTGCCTGGTGGGCAGCCCTCAAAGCTGGCATCACGAGTGGCATGAAGAACCACCTTCCAGCGGGTTGAACGAAGGCAGGAAGAACCCTGAGCATCGTCCTCCCGAAGAGTGCTCCTGTGGCCCCCCCTCCTCACCCACACACGGTTCCCATTCCTGCCCTCTGAGGCTCCCGACCCTGGCCCTCCTTGCCAATGTACCAACCACATCACACAAACGCTGCATAATACCCAGCTGCCACCAGGTGCTGGCACGGGGCTTTCCCACATCTGATCCCCTCGGATCCTGCCCC